CCGGCGCCGAAATTCTGGGGCTGTCACCTCCCCGAAAGCCCAAACATGGTCCCATAAAATAAGGCAGACGGTTCCCTTCGTTGTAGGGCACGAGACAGGAACACCCGGTCTGCGGGAATAATGTATAACCCGTATCAGGGGCACCAACAGTCCCGTAGCCTTTTTTTGATATGTGCGCGTTCCCCGTTTATCGCGCCGTCTGACAGCTGCATGGGGCCCACGAGCCATGCTGACAACAGATCTGATACCAATACTCTGGCAATGATAATAGTATCCAGTCATCAGCAGTGTACCATGTGGACGTTATGACGGATTTGGATGAGGCTGCAACTTACCTCTTTAACCGGCTAGAGTTGCTTCCTCCAAAAGCTCTACAAACCCCGGGGGTAATAACAGTAAACTCTGTGATCTCGGAGTGTGAGTATGTTTGAGACTATAAAGTCCGTTATCTCCTGGTGGACCGCGTCCGGACTCGGGCACCTGCATGTGGCGAGTGATTGCTGTGAGTCAATCGGGTAGACTTTGGGCAGAAATGACCCACTGACACTTGAAACTTTAATTAAACTGTTGGGATGTTTCGTTATTCGGAAGCTCGGAGCTCGGAACAGTGACGTTGGTTTTCCTGTAGGGCTCTCCATCATTATGACTCAGCGGCGGGTTCCGGAATATCATCGTGAGAAATTTCCACTCTTATCCAATCGCAACTTTAAGTTGGTGGGCAGAACCATGGCTTCGGAATTTCACCCGGGTTCGCTTCGTGCGTGGCTCAAAGTTCATCCGAACCAGCGGCAGCCACAGCTTAATAAAAACAGCAATTGGGTATTAGACCGATCACGTCAGTTTCTTTCTCTTGGAGGGGGGACTTTATTTTAATGTAGAGAGATGTTTGGATGGTTTTTTGGTCTCGGACTCGCCGAACTGCTGGTGGTGCGCGATGCGTCATGTCTGAAACGGAGAGTCCGAAACTGTATGGACAAATCCGATGAAGCGATGCGGGATCGATATCGCTCCGATGGTCCCCTCCCTGCGCTGAAAGAAGCAATCATCTGGAAGCTTTCCCAGCCCCTCTTCTCTCCAGAAAAGTTATTTGATTGCTGGCGTACCTGCGCAAATATATGATTCCTCGAAGGTTGCATATGCGGACGACGCATGGAAGTTTTCTGCGTTCTCGGTTACTGGTAGTCGTCGTCAACGATTCGTTCCCATTCCCGAGAGCCCCATCCCCCCTGTCTGTAGCTGTAAGGCTCACTCACCCGCTGTTTTTCAGGGAGCAAGCCAGCTGGGAACGAAGCTTCTTCGGAACCTTCGCTCGCTAATGCCATTTCCCGTTACTATTTCGGTGGCTATGAGGGAACCTTCCGGGACGTCACAGCGGCCTCAACCGCCTGCGGGAATAACAACCCTCTTTCTGTGCGTGTATCACCGCCGCCCCACATCCCACCCGCAGCGCACGCTGACTACACGGACATATTTACATACACCATTTCACTCTGTGGCTGTGTATCTCTGTCTTCATTCTACCCTCTCTTGAGCATTGCAAAACGAAGTACTGGTATACGTATCAGATTCAGATTGCATGGTTGCGTTGCGTCGTTGCAACGTTGGATGAAAGAATTAAGAGTCATAGTTAAACTTATCAAGCCTCATGACCGTGACGACAACCCCTAAGATTGACCTGGAACTCCGTATTCAGTACACTGTTCCTGTTTTTTTCTATGTCCAATTAGGGCAACCAGTCTGTATTGGATGGGGCTTTGCCTGGCTTATTGGATTTTTTTGGGACCAGAACGAAGCAGCATTCGCGTTCTCGCGTTTACCGAGAGACCCTCACGAGCTGTAGCTGTGTGAAAGCTTAGCACTAAGTAGACATGACAGCTGTCGGCATTTCGCAGACCGACTTGCCCTTCTGTTAGATGAGCATGCTGCGGCGGACCAGCTTTGTGTGAAGAAGCAAATTAATAAAACCCCAAGGTTTTGCCATGGACGGCGAGGCTCACATTCCAATCCAAAACACACAAACAATTAAAGACCCTTTATACACCCCACCCCACATCAGTGTCGATCAACGAATTCAAGTCAACACTTCATTTTTTCTCGGCATAGCAGATATTTTTTATACATTATCTGCATAATACATACATACGGTTGATCCGTCAATTCTATACCCTGATCTATAATCACAAATCTTACATCCGCCGCCACCACCTCCTTCTCCTTCCCGAAGATCATGTCTGCTCCCGCCGGCCAGTCTCAAGATCCCGAAGTCATTCGTCAGTGGATGTCGCAAAACCTTATGAGCGTTTCTAGCGCAAACGGGAACGGGCAGCCATATCCTCAGATCGACCCACGTCTTTTAGGTGGATCCAGCTATCCTCCCACAAGTTCAGGAGGATATAGTTCTGGAGGTTCACAGTATCAAGGGAACAACGGCACCCGCAGATAGATCTGTGTGAAATGTGCGATCTATTAGGTATGCGCGATCCCAAGATCCAAGATCTCACCATGGGATGGCAATAAGGTGCTGACCGGCGAGTTTGAAGTTAGTGCAGTCACTGGATGTATCATAACAGCACGCATTCTCCTCTCTTAGTTTTTGGGCGTTAGGTAAAGATAGACACTTTGGCATCATCTCAAACTCATCTCAGTCTTTTTTGTGTTTTGATCATATATTTCCGGAGGCATTAGATGGCGTTATTAGGGTTGGCATTATGTGGAGTTTATTCACTGGCAGGTGCTTGGAAATGGCGTATGTACTGGGGGAATGGTTATCTGGGGTTTTTGAACAGTTGGCTTGAAGGAGCTTATGGGTTTTTTTCCTGTATCTTATTGTTGATTTGCTGCTACTTTTATGCATTCGGTGCCTTTAGACTATGCAGGTATAGACAATGTTAATGATAATTTCTACCTAATGCTTTTCCAAACAAGCTCTCACTTCCCATTGTCTGCTGCGGGACTCACGTGAGATCGAACAGCCTTGTCTTGTCCCTGCATATGTATGGCTGTTTGGTTTCAACGCGGAGTGATTTTCCTCCGACCGTTATTAAAAGTGCTTCGCCTGAACGGATTAAGCACTATCTCTTGGGTACTCGCGTAGGCATCGATGGCTAAGGTTCAAGATCCTATTGTATATAAAGATTGCATCCGCGTTTTAGTGAGACCAGATCGCAAGTATTCATATCGCGCCTAAGATGACGATGGATTGGAGGACTTGGCGTCAACGGGTGATCGATTGTGATTATGATCCTTGTCAGCAGGAATGTACAGGTATCACCGCTCTCACCCTTGACTGCTAAATGGAATGAAGGTGTTGTCTTGCCAGAGTTGTTGATTCGTCCGAGAAACCCATCAGCAGCCATTGAAATCATGCTTAGTTGCATAGCATGTAGCCCTACGTGCACATTGTTTGTACCACCATCGAAAGAGGCGGAGCACCCCTTCATACATAACGATATCTAACAGTCTCTCTCTACTAGCGTATCTGTGTTCCATTGTCCTGCACAAGCGTAGGCGTATTTCGTAATTTGGTAGACTGGAATTCTGAAGCTAGCCACTACAGGACTGATGAATGAGTATACCGGTAGGTATTATCCCACCGAATGACAAGCGTTTGATATGTACCGGTCTACGCACCTGCAAGTGGAGACGCGTTTGTAGTTGGGGGAGTGTGGATACATCATGTGTGCCTTTGAGGAGGCACTGTCCATCCAGAAAGCCAATTTCTCAGAGGGCCCAAAATAGATCTAGATAAACATCTACCTGGCACGTACTTATTCGAGTCAGGCATTAGCATCATGTAGCGCACACGCACATCAAGAGCCTTATAAGGACCCTGCGTGCATCTGTACGGACAATACCTACATACGCAATCATTGCTTAACTTAAATTCATGGTAGTTGAAAGTAGGTATTGCGTGGGATAGAGCCTATCAAGAACGTGCGTAGACATCTAAAAACGTGGCCTTGATGGCTGAGTACATTGTGGGGTACACGTGGGGTTATTCTATATCCTCAGGTGAAAGGTCAACTGCTGTTCGAGAACCAGTGGTATTGTCGCACATACATACTTTACTGGGCGGCTGAACCAAACTCTCGGGTCAGGCGAGCTGGCGGCCCACCAGTGGAGCTTCCTGACACTCCTTCTCATCCATTCATCGAATACGAGTTGGCTTCCTGGTTGACGCGACACCCATCCTGCTTGCCTGTTTGTTGAACAACAGACCAGTATCTCGGGTCGTCGCCGTCAGGCATCCATCTGACTTTTGCAATTGTACCCAGATAGGAAGCTTGTATGGACGCAAATGACCGTCATGAATTCCTCTATCTGGCCGCGTAGTCCCAGTCTCCAAAATCCATGACTACACCGATTGACCTTCTCGCGTCTTAGCGGCTAGAGGTAAGCCTCCGAGTCTACTGATAGTTAAGGCTCCGTTAGATGTTTCCAGCTACAGTCTAGTCTCTTGTATACTATTAGTAGGTGCACATATATATACCTAGGATCAAATTCCCCAACCCCCCCAGTGTCCCTGCCTTCTCCAGCTCTACGTTCACCAGAGCAGATCAATAGTCTCCAGCCAGCCCAGATTTATTGACGATAGATAGATAGATACTAAGTACTTAAGTAGATAGAATAGAGTTCGAGAATACGCCCCTGTATGTAAAAATCTGTGGATAATTAAAATCCCAAGGATTTTCCTGTGTTCCCAGGTGACCAGATAACCTAAAACCTAGAAATTCCTATCCTAACGTTTCACCTGCAGAGTAGTTACGTAGAACTCAATGGTGTGTTATCAAATTAGGGAATTGTAAGTATTTTACTACCACTCTGGTGGTGGCTATGTACCGACCTGGTTGAGTTATGTATTTTGGCGGGAATATGTATCACGGATCGCCTCATACCAAGTAGACTCTCTCATCACTCACAAGCACCCTTGATGTGCGAGCACCGAGACTCATAACAGACACACGGTTTATATTATGCTGATATCAGCCAAAACATCATAAGGCAGGATGGCCGAGTTGGTTATGGCGCCAGGTTAAGGTCTAACCTTAATATGTTGATTTAATTCTCCTGGTTCGGGAAACTGAGCGTGGGTTCAAGTCCCACTCCTGTCAAATATCTTTTTGTGTTGGTTTTATGACTAGCATTCTTGCATGCACGAGAAAATACACTTCCTAGTTCGAAGGATAGAGACGAATAAAATATGTGCGGTAATGAATCAAAATTCTCACTTTAGATTTGCCCGGGACGCCGGCCCACAGTTGTGGTCTCTATATTTACTGTACTTGACTTTACACAATTCAAGTTAACGTTAGGTATGTACTTTAAACCCTCCCTCTCTTTCATGTCTGGACCGCGATATCGGTTCGCTGTACTATATACCATCCTCACACGCTCAACCAAGATCCTACTCTGACTGTAACACACAAAGATAATCAACGGAACTATCTATATCAAATCAATCGATCATCTGAGACTCTGCACGGCCTGCGAGGAGCAAATGTGAAGCTGCCCGGTAGTTAGAGGGGACTCCGAGTCAATTGAGTCGGCTGTATATATGGGGTAGGAGAATGAATCAGACGGAACTTCAGTGATGCCGCGCAGAACCGATGTCATGATGCGCAGGATGGCCTTGGGTTGTCGTTAGAGTTTCCAGTATCGCTGGGACACGTGCCGCCATTGCTCGTGATAAACGCCGCCTTGGCATAGACAGTCGAACCAAAAACAAACATGTCCTCACAGTTGCGGTATATTTCGCTCACAATACGTCCATACTTACCTAGGTAAGTAGATACAGAGAGGCCATATAACTCTCTCGGCTTACAAGCCATTTCATATATATATCCTAACAATTCCGTTGTTTTTCTCAATATATAATCTACTCGTCGGTTGCATGTGAAACCCTACCGGCACATTCAGACACGAGCTTAGAACCTCTCGTTCTTAGAGATCTCATTTAAACACCCCCCATCGCCCCTTCCTTGAACACAACAGCCTCCTCGCACATCTCACAACCACAACCAAACCGCCCTACCGAAAAAAATAACTCTTAACCATGTCTCTAGCCAACCGTTCGTCACCGCCTCTCCGTGTCTCCCGTGACCCTGCGCGCTAACACAACCACAGCCGCATATCCATCTTCGGCAGTCTTCGATATCATCCACCAAGAGCTTCAATCACCGGAAGCCAAGAAAGACTTCATCAAGAGAGCCAACGGCATCTTCGTTTTCACCCTCAAGAATGACGCGGGCGAGACAGCGAGCTGGACTATTGATCTCAAGAATGAAGGCACTATTACTGTTGGCGCCGACGAGAAGAGAGACGTGGAGCTACTCTTTGCGGACGCCGATTTCCAGAAGCTTGTCGACGGCAAGGCGCAGGCGCAGAGGTTATTTATGAACGGAAAGCTCAAAGTCAAGGGGGATGTCATGAAGGCTACTAAAGTAGAGATTATGTTGAAGAATGCGAAGAAGTCAGCTGCGAAGCTGTAAAAAAAAATAAAGGATTTGGAAAGAAAGTGTAGAGTATGATTATAATGACGGAGAGGGAGGATATAGATGTAATGCTTGCGTGCAATTTTTTTGTGCGGCTGTCATGTATTTTTTGATGTGCGGAATCTATGGTTCTACCATTGATCTCCTTCTCATGTGCATTTCTATGCTTCTCTGTTTTTTTTTGCGCAATAGAGCTGTTTAGTCTGTCTGGGTTTTGCAATTTGGCACGTGCCCAATAGACTGTCTATCGTTTCTTGTTTGTTCGATGGATCTATCCTTGATCATGATCTCTCCGGTCCCATTTTCACATCACCTAACTTGGAACGGGAATTTTCAATATAAGCACCAACTTCTAGCTCATTAATCATCCTAATGATTTTCATTTATTTTCGGCAAGATCGAAGAATACAGTTCAATTCACGATTCGCACCGAGAAAAACAAACCCCGGATTCACCACTCCCTCACCACTCTCGTTGGCACCAACCGAACTTCATCGTCATCGTCGTCCTCTTCCTCTTCCTCTTCCTCTCCGTCTTCGTCATCATCCTCAACCACCTTCTCATCTCGATCATAAGCGTCGCATCCCCAAAACGGCGTACGCACCAATTCTACCGACCTCGCTAGCGCCGTTGCTACAAGTGCGGACGACTTGTGTTGATCGAGGAACCGACGGCGGAGTGGGTTGTAGTGGTTATAGTAGTGTATACGGCTGCTACTCTCTCTGTATTTGTACAACAAGCAGCAGATTGTGAGGGGAGGGGTGTAACTGGAGAAGTGTTGTGTGTAGTTTGGGTAGAAGTAGAAGCTCCATGGGGAGGGGGCAGTGGAGAAGGGAAATAGGTACATTTTGGTGGGAAGTAGATGCCAGTGAGGGGAAATCATAGGAGAGGAGGGGTATATCTAATGTACTTTTATCAGGTGGGATGTTCGTGTTGACGGTATAGAGAAACAGCTCAAGTTGTGTGCTTTCTGGGCTAGAGATATCATAGAGTAAGTTGAACGGCTGGGCACGAGACAAGAACGACTTTCGATTGTGGCGCTGTGAATTCAGAATAGATGAAACAAAGCGAAAAGTTGGAAGGGAGAAGACGGGGTCGATTTATGATGTAGACGTCGAGTGTCTGTAGTCGAGTGATTAATAGCCAAGTCCTTCTCAACTCTAGCTAAAACCACACGCTTTCACTCGTTGAAACTTCAAACTCACCCAACCAACGACATTCGTTTATCACCAGTTTTATCATTATTATTATTTTCACTATTATTATTCCCCCCTCCAGCAAATGGTCTAAGGCAGCGTGTGTCTATGCTGCTATGGACGGACGACCATCTTCAGCACCTCCCCTTCCTCCAAAAATCTCCCCTACGCCTCTCTCAATCAAAACCGGAGATCTTGGGGTATTTATCTTCCCGAATTTTGCAAACCATTTACAGCTGACTCGCACTTTCAGCGCCGTGCAAAATCCTCCATTGGTGGATCCTCGCCTGACTCCATTGAAGAGGCTGCAACCTTTTTGTTCCATCGCGCTAGAGCTCTGCTTTCTCCCGGCAACGACGACGATAACAATGGTGCAATTGCTCAGGAGGTTGAATGCTCGGATGAGAATTTACGGTCCAAAACCCCGGCAGCTGCAAGTTCATTATACTATGGAGACGAAGGAGAAAGTGGGGATTCTGAATCCTTTGACTCAGGCAAAGAGACTCCAAAGCGTGGAAATATGGATCTTCAGGGACTTTTCAATAAGGAAAAGCATGAGATTGGATACGAATCGTCGGACCCTGACTTCGATACAGTCATTCGGATTGGAGATGTCATACACAAGACTATTGCCAGCTCGATTGTGAAGGAATCTGGTTCTACCTTAGGACGTCCACATTTCTCGCATACATCAATTCCTGCCGACATAGGCCGGATTAGTTTACAACAAATGACCAAGAATCGAAGTCTGGGGAAAATGACGCCTTCTCCTGCGGCCTCTGCTGTGGGGACCATCGGTGCTTTGGCTGAGGGAGCTTCATCCTCAGAGGAAGAGGGTGAGGAAACTTTGGCCGGGGGGGTTGATCCAGAGAGAATACGAGAGAAATTCATGTCTTCTCCTAAGCCTATCAAAAGTATGGCCCCACACATCAGAGTTGTTTATGATGACAGCTCTTCTCCAGCATCGTGTCGAAATTCCCCCGATCTTTTCTTTCGACCTCTCCACATCGGTTCACCAGTAAAACGCCCCCCAAGCACTCCAACAAATACTATCGCCAGCCCACAACCGCTCATTGGAATTATACCCGCCACAGACTCTTCTAACTCCCCCATCTCCATTGACTCTACGGGAAATGTGAAAGTGAACGGGCAATCGATGCCAGGTGGAGTGTGCACTCCTCCAGAGCATTCGATGGTTGGACATACTGGTGCTACGACCCCCGAGGAAGAGGGTGTTCCCGGTACAGCAACAGTCAACCGGGGAACCATGACCGAATTCGATTATGATGAATATGCAGAGGGGGAATATGGGCCACCGGGTGTATCTGTAATGCCGTCCACATCTGAAACACCGCAAAAGAGTCAGTCGATCTTAGACCTTGGGGATACTTCGCAAAATTTCAGCAAATACTCAACAGATACATTCGCAGCTCTATCATCCTATGACGATTCAGATCCGCAGGCAGTGAAAGGACCACCAGTATTATCCACTCTGTACCAAGAGTATATTCGCTCCAACCCATCCAAAACATCCAGAACGGGAAGCCGCAACAGAGCACGGACAGAAGGGGAATTCCGTAGTACCTCCCGTGGCCCAATGCAATTAGAAGACGGGAAAGTCGCTGTCACCACCCAATCTTTCACCAAAATAATCACAGACCTGGAGGACATGCTGAACCAAGCGCTCGAGATTGCCGGACGTGCAGTGAAAGATTCGAGTTCAGCTTTGGACCAAAGGGACGCAAGTATTCGGAGCTTGCAAAGTAGTACACGAGGGAGCCTGATAAGTAGCGGATTTGAAGGCACTGAGCGTGCGGTTACTGCTCCCGAGTCTCTCGCCGATCCAGAAGAGAACAAAAATCTCGATTATCGTTCCGTGGCAGATGCTCCTGATTCCCAACCAATGCCTGATAAAGTTCATCGTGATGTCAACCCGAGCAGCTCGGCCGCAGTTTATTCGGATGATGGAGAACCTACTAGTCAAAGTAATTTGGAATATGACAGAAGAAGGGAAAGGACTCGCCGTTCTCCTCTTCCCATCATTGATATCGTTGAATCCGAGAGGGAACGCGCATGGCACAGTAATTTACATGACGTTTCATCTGAGCAAGTTTCGACAGTGGCAAGAAAAGCTTTTAGCCCGGATAATTCCTTCAACCAAATCTCTGGGCCTGAGCAGAGATTTCGAATGGAAGTTGGGAGGGACGGAGAGATTATTCTCGTTCGAATTCCTCTTCAAAAGCTGTCTGTCGAAAATGGGCCATCGTTGCCGACAGACGGAGAAGCCAGTGATCCAATACCGCGTAGATATAAGGGCGGTTGGGAATGGAGCTTATGGGGTAAGCGGTTTACAGCCACTATCGCCTGCGGAGTGGTGGGCTTGATTGGTTGGATAGTTAGAAGCTATTATGCTGAGCTACCACA